TGACATCAAAGATCCAAATAGTTACATGATATCTTCCGAAGGCAGAACTATAGGTATGTGCTTAATTTGAATAATTTTTATTCGGTACATGAAATCTGTTTTGTTTTCACTTTCTAGATAGGTTTATTTTGACCTACGAAGTAAAGAATAGTTTTTATTTACATTTCCATAAATTAAGGATAGCATTGAGTGTTTCATCGACAGACTGTCTTATAAACAGCTGATTGTGACAAAGAAAAAGAGTCAAAAAGACAGTTTACTGAAGGAATAAGTAACTATAACACGTGAGATTACTCTCAAACAGCTAAAAGAATCTATACCTAATTAAAAGTCACATTATTTCAATCATAATAAAAATCACTTTTCGCGGATGATCGTTAAATTAAGTAGTTATATAAATTTCAAAATTATAAAAGGTGTGTTCATGTGATTGTTAATTAGTTAAAAAGGTTTTTTTAACAAAACCAAATCAATATGGAGTCGATTCCTTGTGTTCAAACTTGAAAAATAATATTTATTAATACAAATTGAATTTAATATTTGATCAATCGTAAATCCAAAAGTGTGGCTAATCATAATATGACACTATGTAGCGTTGGTCTCGTTTCTTACTTATATCGTCAGAAATTCACTATATGATTAATATTACCATGATAAAAACTTTATTTCGTTCAGCAGTAACGTTTCCTACTTTAAAGTTTAATGACGTAAGTGTAAAAGTTTAGTTGGTGCATGCCAACTAGCACAACTACAGACGTTATAACTTTCCGGTGATTTTTATGAATCACTTAAGCAAACTTCAATTTCCATGACGACATTTTATGACAAATAAGCATGTACATTTTTCTGTATTTACTCTTGCACAATTATTACTGTATTAATAAATTTAACCATATTACCAGCAAGCTTTCATTTGATGTGCTGTTTTTGAAAGACTGAAGGATTTGTTAGTTCGAACTTAAGATCGGAAAATAACCTTTAGATGAACACTTGTCTTTAGTTACAGACTATATTTTTATATCTTGGAAAATATGTAGGTTATTGAGCTTTAGTATTATTCTGTCATTTTTTAATTGGAATAAAGTATAGTGATTAGAAGGATCATTTATATTCACTGTAGGATTATTAAGCTCCTTATCTGAGGTATTTTGAGAACACCTATAAACAAATGTACCCGGTGTAATATATTTTAATCACCACTTTTGTTATTTAGACCATCTTTTCCAAAATGTTTCCCTTTTTTATCTTTTTATTTATTAAATTGTAGTTGTCCCAGTTGAAGAACGACAGAGACGTTTATCGTTTCGAGTGAGTTGTTGTGAACCGACTTCTTTTTATACATCAACAAATATATTTGTACTTTACTATTCTTTTTATCATGAGATAACAGTATGAAGGTAGCTAAAAATATCGATTTTTTAATGCAAACCTTGGTTATAAATTTTTTGAGTTATCAATTCTTTGTTTAAAGCGTGTCAATAGTTAATTCATAGGATAGACATAACACGTATAATATGAAAGCAGTTTAGTGAAGGCTTATTTTTAGCATCAGTCATGTGAGCTGTCATGTCTCTTCAACCAATCAGATTATCTGCTGATTGTAGTGTAAAATGTAAATGTACAGTGCTAATATCAGTAACTTGTTTGTTTTTATCACATTAAAACTGTTTTAAAGTTATGCATTATATCATGGCTAAAAGAATAATAATAATAATAAATTTTACAAACTATATGAAATAACATCACTGGTTAGTGTATAAGTGTTTACTATAATCTTTGGCCTTTTCTGTATCGAATCTAGACGAGAAATACAACATAGGAGTCTGATGTAGGAGCTTCAAACTATAATATAGCACTATATCAAAGATTCAATGACCCTTACCGAAGGCTTTGAAGATATCTGTTGGTTGAGATAGTTATTGTAATAGAAGTGCATGCTATATTAATGAACAAACTGCTAAACACTTTATTCGAAAATACTAAACATTTGCTGAAAAATTAAGCATTATGAGAGTACGTTCAAAACAGCTGAATAAAATAAGCAGTGAGCTTTGGATATCAAGCGACGTTTGATAAAAAGGTGTTTTATTTTTATTTTCCATTAAACTAAATATAAAAAGTTCTAAGCTGTGCATCAGGCCGTTTAATTACTTTTCAATAACTAGGCCTTGTAACATCCTCTTACTGATCGTTAAACAAAAACGAATTTTCAGATTTTTGATATAACCAACCAACGACATTTTTTGTTAACATTTGTAATAACGTCATTGTAGTTAGTGTGTCAATCACGACGTAGAACCTGTAGTGTGTACATCGGTTGGAGTTACCACATCGAATTAACACATAGAGATGACGTCATAAGGCCAAATCCAGGAATAATAGAGGTAGTAATAGCAGTGGTAATGGGGAAGATTAATCATAGAAGATACGATTGAAGAGAAAAATACAGGTTATTGAAATACAAAAAAATTGTGGGAAATTTAGAATCTCAACCTTTGGGGGAAGACAAAGAACGGATGTACCTGCACCATTGCAAAAGATTTTGAGTTATATCATTTAAAGTCTCTAACTATTGGGCACGATAGTCACGTGGGCCTTGACCAGGTAGTCCACCTATTAAGGTGGCTCAGTTCAAGGACTTCATGAACCAATACCATGATTTGGTTTGGATGGCTTTATATTTCTTCCAGCCTACTCTTCACTAGGAGGAATAGCCCGTCGTAGATGTTTTTATCATATTGACAGTTGGTAGATATTTTTTAGTATAATTTACTTGTATGTCTTGAAAAGTTAGTATCATTCGCTTGCATCCTGAGCTAAATGTGCTTTCAAGTCAACAGAAAAAAACAATTATGACAACAAACAGATGAGTTTTTCAACGTTACAGCACTCTCTTGCTTTATATTTTTTTCATAAGCAATCAAAACATATGATTGATTGGTTTATTTTGACCTACTGGAAGATTAATTTAAGTGTTAAAAGATTAAGATGTAGTCAGTAGTAAAAAAGCTCAAAACACAAACATTACTAACTAAATAGTTTGCAGTAATACAGTGTGATTATTGGAACCTTATATCAGCTTAAATTTGACATATTACGTAGAACTGGTAACTACCGAAGTGTAACATAAAGTTCTTGTTTATGTGAATCTAACTGTTAATTATAAAATATTCTGCATGAAAATCGGTGTTTTTCTCACCATAAGTAGTAACAAAAGCAAAAAAGTAAAGAACTAATTTATAAACTCTGATAGAACCTCGATCGTTGAAATTTTTTAGATTCTTCGAGAAAATGTAATGAAAATGAACAAACATTACTAAACATTTTTGTCTATCACCATTTTATTCTGTACATTGGCTTTATTGTACTAACCGAGGATTTATATATGATACTTCCAAACACTTACAAGTAGTATTACCGAATTTTGTATTGACGACATAGTGATAAATTGTGCATCTGAGAACAGATTAGTTATGATATTAGATATAAGTAAAATGAATGCAATGTGAATGGTTTGTATTTACTTTTCATTTAGTAGTTAAAAAATACTTTTCGCTGCATACTAAAATGTATTTTCAGAGCTCTCTAGAAAATTCCGTGGGGTTTAATTAACTCATTACCATTAATCCATATTCAAAAGTGTAAATTATTGTTTCGAAGTTTATCGATTCTGCGTTAGATTATTTAAAAAAAATGTGTGCTCCATTAGAGATTTTTAAGGTAGTTGAAAACAGTTATATAATTGCTCAAATGATGGTAAGTTCTCATAAATACAACCGCTAAGCTAAAGGGGACTTAGATAATGAATGGAACTGAAGTATTCGAGGCTCATTTATTCCTACTTGGGACCTATCAGCTAGATGCACATGCATTATAGTGTTGACACTCATATCGAAGCTCGAATAACTGCCTTTAGCCCAACGCCTTATCCACTGAGCTACTGAGCTGAGATGGTCACTAGCTTGTCCAAAAAATTTTAAGTCATATATACGTTGAGGTATGAGTTTCCAAATTGCTGATATTAGGCACTAACGAGGAGCAAATACGCGTGTCAAGAATGCCACTGCTAGCCATACTTCATCTTTACTAAAACTTTAACTCAAATGAAATAATGAGGAAATCCACCAAGAATTCACATATGCGAAAAGTCGGAACAAAGACAAGTCTTTAATATTAACACCAGGATAATTCAACATTAATGATAATAATAATAATAATAATAATAATAATACTAACAAGAGTTCAACAAGTTAGTATCTACCTCAACTCATAGCTATGTGGATAACGGAAGGAAAATTGTTCAAGTACAAGTATGAATATCAACACTAGGATGCAGGTTCATTAAGCTGAAGAGTCCTAAATAAGATGAAATGTTTACCCTGAGTTCTACTTAGAGCTAGACTCCATCCATTATTATTTACTGTACTCAGTGAAAATAATGTATTAATTCTCAGTAGATTTTTGTAATAAAAAAATTATCATAATATTATCTATTCAATTTTAAAAATATACCTCTTCGACTTGCTTTCAGATTTAGTAATGTTTCCTGTAAATGTGATCGAATAAATCTTATTAAAAGACTTTCAAAATATAATTTTAATGCCTATAGCATCGTGTGATTTTTGCAAATTATGATCGTAATGAATACCAAAATAGGTGTTTTTTTTATTATTGTCAGTCTCGATATTTATATGTCAGCTAGTTAAACAACTTTTAGCGTGGACTACATGTTGGATATTTTTATTCTGAAAGCAAACTCTCCAGGTCTGATCCATTGTATACCATTTGAATAAGGGTCTCACAACTAATTAAGTATAAAAATAAATTATAATAGAAATATTATTCAGTAGGTGCAACAAAATGCATAGACATGTATTTACTAACCAATACATTTACAGACATTCTAAAACAATAACCAACCAGTGAAGAGACAAAACACAACCTACTTTCTACTACATGGATATCAAATAATAAAATATATATTCTTAAATAGGAAACATGTAACACTAGTAGTACATTCCCATTAGTAAATAGTAAGTAATTTTGAGGATATCTGATAGAATAAGTCATGCTTTACTTTTCTTCGTAAATCGTAGTTAGAATGTATAGAGTATTCAGATTATTATGGTTTTCGCTTAAACCTATTGTAATTTTAAATGTGGATTATTGAAGATACGCTCTGAACTAACTAGATATAATTACTCTGAAAGTATCTTCCAGCCATATATGGTACCATAAGGTGTTATTATCGAATAACCATTGAAAAAAACTCCATTTTCACATTGTGTTTTATTCGAGCATATTATCTGAACTTAGGAAATTATGTTAACTACGTGGGTCAACACGTACTACACTGACGTTTCCCACTCTATGCTGATTTTTCAGGAAAATCAAACAGTGTATAGATGTATTACTTTCACTCTTTCATTTCTTAGGTTGTAGCATGAAATACACCCGAACAGTAAATGTTTTGTTCGAAAGCGAATTTTAGAATAGATTTTTAGTTTGATAAACTGTTATGATTAGACAACAAATTTGTCTTCCAATCCTAGTCTAAAAACGCCAAAAATTTATTCTTATCTGTATTTTATGTGTTTCAGAGAGACAATCAAATTTCACTGGAACCAATTCAGCATGAAATTAGTAAGTTAATACAATACGTTTTTGATTGTAGGTATCAATACCAAGCTTTGACTTGATAATTTCGAGTAAATTAAGCATAAGGTAGATTGACTTGTTCAGACCTGTTTTTGATTGATCGCACATAGTATTCTTGCGTTGGTCCTTTGTACTATTTAAACTTGGAATAGTTTTGGTTTGGTTATTTATTCTCTAAAGTAGTGGCTTACACTGAGTCATGAAACGTCAGAAAACCTAATTTTTCTACTCATTGGGATATTACAAACATATTCTATTTACGTTTCCAATTGTTGTGTTTATGATGAAATAGAATCGTTAAGTATGCAAACTTCTGAAGATATATAAGCGATTATTTGTTTTAGACTTTGCTAAAGAAAACCTCCAGTGTTTTTGTCCTTTTTAACGGATTTCTCATGCTTTAGTCTTCTTTATAATGCAAATTATTACTGTCTAAAATTTATTCACGAATCTCTATTTTTGTTTTTTAGTTTTCGTTTTGTATATTATGGAATTTTGAAAACGAGGTTTAAGGTTTGACTTTTTTTGTCCCATTCATCTGCACTGTTCTTTTTTACTGAAAACAAACATATCATTAAATTCAACTTCTCGGATTCCGTCTTATCGGAAGAACAATAATTCTTATATGTTAAGTTTATTTCGATTCCACCGATATAGTATTAAAACCTTATCAAACTTTTTCCGCATACAAAACAACAAAGACGATAGGTGTAGTAATATCTAGGGAACTAAGCATAAAAACTCGAAAATATTATACATTAACTAAAAATAGCGAAAGCGATGAATGGTTTTGTCATCGATTAGATAGTAAACAGTTTATCGCGTCCAAACGGTTGTGCTTGGATAAGAAAAGCTGTGAATTCAAGTTGGATGGAATTTACAAAAAGAACGACTAAAAGCCTATGAGATCTTACTGATGTTGTTGCCTTAATCAGAAGTACTTCAGAAATTAAAGCTCATCATTAATTAAAAAAGGACACTCAAATACACACAGATAATATATCCTAAAAGCTTCTAAAATAATCAGGACATACAATAATGTAACAGAATATCTTTTATCAATAAGTCATGAAGGGTTATTTGATGTACATTATCTTACTAAACATTAGAATTGTTACCTCTGCATACGATTTCTTTTGAATATAAATCCGGTTGGATATTTATTATTACATAGCATATGTAGAACATTTAAATATCACTAGTAGGAAATTCCATTGTATTTCCTCAAGAGTTTAACTAAAGTTTAGTGCACCCATAGAGAAAACAGAAATTCTCCAATCCGTCATTTTGGTTCATCAAAGCTAATAGAGTTGTCCTTCGATCCACAATGTAAAAGTGAGACGATTCATTTGTATGTGGAGTAGTTAATGTATTAAAGTTTCTAGTGTTTACGATTATTCTATGGGTTTTTGTTCAACATAATGATAACATAAATGAAAGATTTCACTACGTATATATCGCACTAAAGGTCAAAAAAGATAGAGTAAACTGAAGTATAACAGTGAATCATTTTAAGTTGTACATATTGAAGACATTAAAAATTTGACTTTAAAGTTATGAGGATAAAGTTATCTAATTTATTGTATGTTTGATATTTCTAGGCAGATATGGACAGTAAAAAGCAGAGAGATCCAGGTACATTTTGTTGAAGAGTGCTAAATAACAGGGAACATACGTTCAAGAATTCGTTTCTGGTCACAACCCATCTCTGCTTAAAATACTATTACAGTTATTTTGTACACAACATATAGTGTATTTTTCCATCCCACAACTTGGTTCTGTTAATTTTTAAAGTGAAGTAAATGGACAATTCGCATCGCATTCTCTCCCGAATGAATTGATTAACTATTTACCATCTTTGTTGCTTAATAAGCCCATGAAGAGTGTAGCTTACAGATTTGTCCCCAAAATAGTCTTATCTTAATTATGACTAATCAACGGGACGTATTTGCATCTCACTGAGCAATTTTTTGCCACTGAAAACTGAGTGCACAGCTACTCACTTAAAATGCTTTAAGGATGGCAAACAATATACTTACAGGGAATATCGAGGTATCTATTTAGAGAAATACCATGCAAAAAGAGACTGAAGATTTTAGTCTTAGAGACATCGTTAGTAATAAACTTGAAAATCTTAACAACAATATAATGTGAATCTTCATATCTGATGATGATGATGATGATGATCAAAGCTACAAACAGCATAGAATAAACGGGTAACTGAGCGTAGCAAATATGCTTAATTTTAGAGTACTATGGAATCTCGATGTCTGAAACCTCTATTTTTCTACAAAAATGCTGTTTAGACAAAATATCACGTTTAATTTCTCATTTGTACTGTACATATCATATCTGGAAGGCATCAGTAGGTGAAGTTTATCGTCAGTGATCGAATGATATATTTACCAGAAACAGAAAAATATAAGAGTGGTGATAGAGTTTATTACTGTATTGTTCTTAATAGTAAGGATAATCCTTGTTTGTTACCCAGCATCTTACTTTCAAGAGACAGAATCTTGCTAAAAATAAAGATAGGAACAGTGAAAAAATTGATAGTGCATTAACCTGAAAAGAATGGTGAATGGCAAAAGTTCTAAGAAGCTGACTTACTTTTTAGCAGGTTGTTTTAATCACTAGATCTATAGTCTATCCAGTGATCACCAAAATATCGGTTAGTTAGATGATGTAATCTAATCAAAACTTATTAGAATGGTTTTGCCACATATCAAACTGTAAGATCACTGAAGACGTCAGATTTAGATTTTACTTTTTCTTATAATTCATTAACAAAACTAGACTGTCAACATGAGAAGTAAAAGACCATGTTCATTAATAACAAAACATATAATCGAATCATGGGATAGAACTAACGTTATTTCACCTTTTGAAAATTTGTGTACAAACTTTCAAGGATGAATTATTATGTTTGTAGAAGTTTTTGCTATTCACATATCGAAGCCAACTTTATGAGTACAGCGAAAACACCGTAACCATGAATTTCAACCGGTAACCTTTAAGTATCGTAGCTGGAAATTTCTTGACATAGCTTTTTCACTGACTAGCCTTCACCAGCCGTATTTTCTGTAATTCCAATGAAGTTTGTCCCCCTTTTCCTTTAGAAACCGAAGAGATGGTATCTGCGGATGCCGGATTGTACCGTACAGAATTAACTTGCACGGATAGACCATAGATACTGACTGCCATTGATCAATAAAAGCTGCGTGCACAGCTTATTGTCAGTGAATTTTAAAATTGTATATCGAACAAACTATACTTTTATATCAAGTCATGCATTCTAAAACGCTGACGTAAGGCATAATGACATAGTTCATTCCGACAATAATACTTGACAACATGAGATTGTTGGCTACTCAGAGGTGCTACACACTACATGATATCGCATTATGTACTTGTACATTTTCAAGCATTATAAATCTGCTTACTAGAATGTGTTATTTCTATTTTGTCTGTTGGGCAACTGAAATGATGAATTATTATTCCTTAACGTTACTTAATTACTTACGTCTGTTAACGGTCGTGGAGGAACCTAGGTCGCCCACCAGTATTCCACAGCCAACCCTGTCCTCACTCATCCTTTGCAGCTGTCTCCAGTCGCCATTTATTCTTTCAATATCTGCTTCCGATTCTCGAAACAATATGTTTCTCGGTCTTCCTCTTTTCAGTTTTCAAGTTTTCCAGATTCCAATTCAGCTCTCACCTCACGACATAGTCTGATGATTTCTTCAGTGTATGTCTTATACACACCCAACGCGTTTGCCCAAGTTCCTCCTCAGATGGAAGTTGATGCGTTCTCTCACACAGTAGATTGTTGCTGATGGTATCCGACCAACGGACGTTTAGTATCTTGAGTAGACAACTGTTTATAAATACCTGTACTACTTTGATGTTGATTGTGGTAGTTCTCTAAGTCTCATCTCCGTACATCGGGACTGTCTCGACGTTCGTATTGAAGATTCTGAATTTTGTGTTGGCATGCATACAGTTGTTTGGAGTTCCAAATGTACTTTAGAAATCATCGGTTGACACATCTGACAATCTCCAAACATAATAATTTGCTGTCATTCAAGTACAAAAGATAATTCAATCGAATCTCCTAGAACTAATCATGTTTTTATTTACAGTCTCGTAACATCTTTCTTGTAGTCAAGGAAGGTGATGTATTGTGATGATTTCTATTCACTTGATTGCTAAGCAATGATCCACAGTATCAAGTCTTTTTCGATGCACTTTTGATTCTTACGGAATCTGGTCTGTTGATCTCAAAGTTTGGTGCCTACTAATGTTAACGTTACATAATACTCAAATATTTAACCAATTTATTAGTTAATAATATTATTGTTTTATAAAATAGAAGTATTTGCTCATAAATATCCATGTTTTCTCTTAAAACTTAATTAAACAATCATATATATATATGCTACTTTCGAAATGTTACATAACTAGAATATGAATTAAATTTTGCTTACATCAAAATTTTACAAAGAATGCCTATGCGTTTAGCATATTTGTTCTTAGTTATAGGTTTGAAATTTTATTTTTAATTACTGTGACATTTTAGTTTCCAGTTAAAAGATAGTTCTATTCAACTGTTTTATAGACCTGTCAAAGAAAACGCATTCATTTTGCTTGAATCTACCAGTCATTACAATAGACAGTCGAAGAGTTGTGAGCAAACGTTCCGACAATACTGTTTATTACAGACCAATGAGAAACTGCAATTTGAGTTATGGATTTGTTTTGTCTGATGAGACTTCAAATAGTGGAGACGATGTTTCTAGTAAATCCAGAAAACCTCGTTCATCTGCTTCTTCAAGTTCATCAGTATCGATATCAGGATCCGTTCCAGCTTCAACATCATCATCAGCATCATTTAATCAAAGAAAACATGTAGTAAAAGAATTAGTGAAAACACAAGTAGACTTTGTATCAGATATGAAAAATGTCTTGACTGCATTTGATTCTGTTGGTTTAACGGTAATGAACAACTTGTTTTACCTCTGTTTTATTCACAATCTTTTTATTACTTTTTCAAAAAATTACAATTTCAAACGTCATTAGAGATGAAAATGCATAAAGAATATTCATTAATTCACATTTTAAATCGCTTGATTTTATTTCAGTGTTCTGGACATCAGATTTAGAAATAGTTAAAAAAACTATACAAAATATTTTTACAAGTGATGTCGTAATCCCTCTTCACATTATTTTGAAAACAAAGCGGTTATCACTAATACTGACATAATTATTTTGATGTTGAAAGGAATGTTATGTAGTTTTGCATATTTCTGCAGTACAAACGATAATTTAGTAAAACAACACCAAACTACTAAGTATAGATTATCTACAATGTCGTCTGAATATCAAAAACTTCAGAAAATCATGTAAGTATACGAAAATTATTTAGATTCATTTTAGACAACCTAAGAATTAAAGATCTGTTAATTAACAGTAATCTCGAAAAGTTGAAAACCCCAATTTCCCATAGAAAAGAGAATCCACATCGTCGAGAAATAAACCAAGCCTACTGACTTTTAAATGATCTGGTCACATAACTGCTTAAGTTGATGAGCATATGACGAAATGATAGTTTATGTGCCAACCTATATCGTACCCATAAATGGAATTAATAATTCCATACAAAATATAGATTTATTAAATGTTTTTACCACAGTATTTAGACCAACATGTTTGTGTGCATATTATTTTTCAGTCTCTTACTTTACCCTGAATCACAGTAACATTATCAGATTTAAGTTTCATTACTGGACTAGGGGTGGTAATCATGCGAAAAATACCGCATATTTGTATTTTGACGTTGAGCTGAAAAGAAATTAGGAATTATCAAATTGATAGCCTTCGCAAAAATATTTGAACCGTCATGAGTACTACAGTTTAGATGAGAACACATTCAATAGTGGAAACTCCATGCAGTTATCTATCATATCGAAGCTCTCCGATCACAGATGGATTAAGCCTAATTCTTTACAAGTTGTTGATCTAATAAACACTTACTGGTTTCCATGTTAAAAATTCCGCAAGCATGTATATAAATATAAATGTCTATTGGGAATAAGTTCTCGTTTACTAAATAAAGAAATCGATTCCCTCCATCATTACTTTAGCGTCAATTCAACAAATTTTTGCCGAGCAAAGTAGTAATTTATCTCTCCATTGTATGTGTATACAAAATCAGGTTACTGAATCCAATCGATATTCATTGTTGGGAAATTTGGATCAATTGGTACGTGTTTCTGATGAGATTTCAACGGAGTTACAAAAAGAAATATCTACATATAGTGATGACCAACTTGGTAATGCATGTATCGGTAAGATGTTAGTTAGCACATGTATTCTTATATATCTTATTTAAAATTACCCCATCTGAAAATGTTATATCTTTAAAGAAATTGAATGTGTAGTACAACTTTTTCAATAAAATGTATATACTTTAGACATTGCCACGTTAGGATTGTCCTTACAATGATTACGTTAATTACATATGACTTCATTTCTGTGAGCCTATGTTATGATGAAACCATATTGATCTTGTCACTTTTTTATCACTAAAGTCGAAAATTATTTCAGCGGAAATGGTTTAAACTGTTTAAGGAGAATAATGCTCAGGTTTACAGCTTTCATTCAACTCCAGAAATCTTGCTAAACGTATCTGGCTTGGTATTTATTTGTATACAGATGACCATAATACCAGTAAAAGGTGATGTAATAGTCTCGTAGTATATAATATTTATTTACACTATAAGCACAAAGACTAGGATTATAGTGGATAAATTAATGTTAAAAATTGTTTTTTGGAAGAAAGAAAATTAACGTGAAGATGGTTAGAATGTTTTGTAGATTCAGAAATATGATGTTCCAATTACTTGAGTTAGCGATTTTAGGATAACCAGTATTGATTGCGATTATATATGTAGTATTTATCTACTAGCTAAACTTATTATAAGATGATGTTTTTATACATATTCTTACGATAATGTGATATATATATATTGCTGAAAATAGTTAACTAATATACTTGATTTTTTTTTGTATGCGGCTGTGGATACAACTTCTTCCTTATTTTAATAGCTACATGTATAAATTCGTTCAGATTATCTATAAATGAAGCATTGAAGACGTATATCTTAAATTTTTCAGTAGATGCTTCAACAAAGGTTAGTTAATTACTGTTATTTATTGACTGATATATTGAGTAATAACATCTGTTCTCTTTCTGAGTCTCATAATTAAAAACACAATTCTTCAACATGTTTTGTGTAATAATTCAATTTTGTGTTTAAGTTTAGATGAGAAAATTGGTTTATACTGTCGTATTTTTGGTAAAAGATTGACATATAAATTGTGGACTATCTAATGCCATACATATAGGTTATTAATCAACCGTGTTTTATAAACTTGTATTATGCCACATAATATTTAACGTCCTTACAAATCGATAGATGATAATAACCCACTAAAATGTAGCACACTTAGTAATATCCATTGTTTGTCAGTCATAATAAAAAATAACTAGTTACCATAGTGTAAGTGGATCGGTAGCACAGAGATTGATATGAAAATTTTGGAAAGTTTCATGAACAACTAAACAATACTATAACAATTGAACATAATCTACTAAATGAAGTTCAACAACATTCAAAGGTACACTTATATTTCTGTTTCTTCTTTGCAGAAGACTGTGACATACCTATGAAATGATATAAAATTACTTCAATTATTTTGTCTTTGTATTGAAATGAATATATTTTTCTTTTCAGAATACAGAAATTCAAACATTTTCCGTGCTTGGTTTCAAAAATCTTCAAAGCGAACGTCCAAATATATTGACTTTAAATGACGAATTAATTAAACCAGTTCAAAGATTAGTTAAGTTAAAACAACTGTTTGAATTATTGAAAGATGTGAGTACGTATACAAAACAAATATTTAGATAAGAAATCTTTTAAATCCATTGATTGATTCTCGTTCATGTCGTTTGATTGAAGCTTAAAAAACCACTTAATACTCTTATTAATCAGACTAGAAAAAAACAGTGTACATTAAAGGTCAGCTAATTTATTACTTTCATTTCTAGCGACTAATTATTTTTGTATTTTAAAGAGACTTTTTTAACAATATTTATTTATTTATTATTTAAAGACATAAAATTTGGTACAAGGAGACCCAAAAGATATATAAGCTACACAAATCATTAGATTTGTGTAGGGGCTCGGTTACCTCCCGGACGCCCGAACCGAAGAAGGTCGTTTTCTTAGAGATAAACTCTCCGAGCCTTTCACCTAGAGGTCTAATCCACCATTCAGTGGAGTAGCGTTAGTAGACACAATCTCATAGTAACCGGCAATCAACAGTGGGTTTTTACACCTTTTAGTCCCTCAGGATTGTGAAGCCCATGTGCACCACAGGTTTGAAATCAAGACTTTCCAACTCCTCTGGGTGGATCCTTCATATTCAACGATCCAGTTAAAGTGCTAGACATTAGATTCTCGCCCTCTCAATTTCGTAAACAACACCCCCGTCACAAGAAGGCAGTGGCTGTATACGCGTGGTCATGTGAGAACATTTTGAAAGAGAGAGCTGACTCCCCCGTCGCTCGGCCATACAAGGACATTTGCTTTTTATAATTATCTTTTATTCATTGTTTAATGTTATTCTTAGCCTCTACTCTGTTTTTTTTCACGAAATGTTCTATTATAGATTAATATGTAAACATAAACGAGACGTATTAGGATTTAGCCTTTACTCAATAATATAGCGTCAATATCTTGAACTCCTATTGTGGGAATTTGAATTTGACATTTAAGATTTAAAATATATTGTAAGCAAGCACAATATTTATCATGTTAAATATTCACTATTTGTAGAACAGATTATTTTTTATCTAGCATCTACTATAAATGACAGTTTTACTACAGAACTAACTACTCTATATGTCATAGTTCTATGTCAGGACCTTTGTTTGAGTATTTTGAAGCTAATTAGTAATGAATCTATGGTTTTTATATAATGATTTGGCTGTATGAAAATGTTTATACGGTAAGTAGTCATCATAAATACGACATCAGTCAAAGAACTATATATACAACTGTTTTATGTTCGATATTTAGGTAACACCGATAAATCATCCAGATTGTTTGGCAACTACGCAGATGTTCAATAACTTTGATCAATTAGCCTATGAAGTGAATGAAGTCAAACGATGGAAAGAGATTTGTAAGTATTCATTCAAGTTGTATAACTTCTACATGTATCCCATAGTTACATTTCTATTTTTTAAAATATAGTATTATAGTATATCTAAATAAATTTTTACAAGATGCACTGTCAAACAGCTTGATTTTAAATATTTGTAGTTCAATACAAATATATAATGAAAATATCACGAGCAGATAACTGTTCTGAAACAAAGCAACCATATCAAAAAGGAGATTAGGACCACTCATGACACTAGATTACCAATGGGATATAACTCAGATCGACTGAAGTTCAAGAAGTGAAGGGTTGAATTTCCACTCAGTATTTCAGCGGAAAGCTACTTTCAAATAATTTTAACAAACTCAGATCTTGCACCTTCAATCCATCTGAAACCTTAAGGAAGCTGGTGTTTATCTAGTATTAGCACTTACCTCATATACAGTTATCAAGCAATAATTCCGAATATAATAATTTTATTTATCCTTACAGACCCATGGATTATTTGGACGAAGAGACACTTTCTTCAAAAATTACACAGAAATCAGATTTTATCCATGAGGAACAAAGCGGTCAAACATCAATTGTCATTTACTAAAATATTATAATTTTTATGCCCGTATATACTATTCAATTTTTAACTCCACTGATTATTCAGCTGAACGTAGTTTTAGCTTCGGAAATAATATCATATTGTATTGTAAAAATTCTAACTGTTGTTATTTAGTAAGTTATAGCATGATATCAAGTATTCCATCTTAAACCACATATTATAAAGAAGGTGTACGATGAATGTAATAAGAATTCCCCTAAGTAATTATGCAAAACGCATTATCACTAAACATTGTGGATATTTTGACAATCTTTATGTCGTTGACTATCTCTAAGTCCTAAATAACTATGTTTATGCATGGTATGACATTTAAATGTTTAATAAAATCTTAGGATGGAACTGAAAAGCTTTAGAACATATAATGTCATATTGTATGAAATTATGCATTAGGAACTAGTACATAGATTATAGTTGTTCAAAAATGTACACGTAGATGGTTGTCACGAGACCAATTACGTTGGCGGGTTTTAAGTACGCTTTACTCGTTTACAAAATTTCGAACCTAAAGTGCTAGTCTGTTTTAATTCTGCAACACGTAATCCATCTTGAGAAGTCATAATTCATCTAAAACTAACTTTTACACTTTGATAAATTAACAACAAAGTGTTTACCCCTATGTGTTTACGAATCAATTATTGGTAAACAGTTGGCTTATAATAGCTGTGTTATTGGATGTATATACCAGAAATCTTGTATTTATTTAGATAGTGTCAGATTAATTTGTAAGTGAGTAAACTTATCATAAACTAACCATTATTATACATAATAATGCAAATTAAATTTTACACAATAATTTTATTAGCATTATTGTTTTTATTTTCATTATCTCTTATAGGTGCCAGTGTTTCTGAAGAAACGCGAAAATATTCCCTATTTCAATTAGTTGACAAGAGCACTAAAAGAATAATAGCAAAGGCTGCACGTAGCTCAGGCTCAGAAGCTACTCGTAAAGTAAGATTGCCTTTAAGTGGTAGTTTTCTTTATAGCCAAATAGTTTTTAACATCAAGACCAAAATACCAAAGGAATTCTATTAATCGAATCTGCAACATAACCGGTTGGTTAAGTCATTCGATACCTCAATGGAATATATTGGATATTTGAAGACAGTCCGTTGGAGGTCCTTAAATTGAATTCTATTCTTCTTAGGATATCTGTAACCACAAAATAGTCTAAACGCTTTATGGATTAAAACTAACTCTAGTCAGTTTGTTATGTTAAGTAGGCTGTTAAGTAACTTGTTTGTCTTTTATCATAGCAAATGAAAGCAGTGAAGATAATGAAAATCCATTTGGGTAACATGAGTATTAATCTGTAAACAACAATGATATGTATTTCAAAACCACTTTTCATATTGGTTATTTAGCATACAACGTGAAGTATGATAGTTAAACATCTCTATAGGAGTCAGATTATTATAAACTGCTAACAATAAACGCGTAACGGTTTTATATCAGCCAACCTTCAACTAAGTTAGAAGTTGCGACAACATTCTTTTATTCCTAAAGATGTTGACAAACTGCAATTTGATTTGATGAAAATTTCGAAAAGAACTCCAATAGTATTGATTTTGTGTGCAAGTCTATATATATATACTAATTCTTTGTTTCTAAACCTATTGCAATTAAGGGGTTTTTCTAACCAATACAAGAAAAATCAGTGAAACTAAGAATTTTAACAGCCTTATTTTGTTGATTTTACACAATCTGCAGCTGTATAAAACTTCTGTTCTTTTGGAAATTCAATCTAAGATAACTAGTTTCTGTGAAAAATAGAACTGTAAATTCTTGTCAAATGTCTTCATTGTTGCTTGAATTTGAAGTGTTTTACATACAGTACTGACCAGTTCTATCAAGAAATATTGCTGTTCGTATCAAGCAGTTTGTTTTTACTTTGAAGGGAAATGGTTCGATGACTAATAATGGTTGATTAGGTCCTGTCTCTGTATTACCTGATCGGATTATAAATGGTTATTCTTAATAAGTAAATTGTCCTCGATTTTATTTCTGAAAGTAGCTATAGCTTAATAATATTTGAGAATAAATCATTTCCACTACTCTAGACAGAAAATTAGAGTTCTGAGTTTTCAGCGAGTGCATTGTCCGGAAAATCTATTTAAGCTCTTTCAATATTGTGGAATACACTTGATCCTGAATGATGCAAGTTCAAATCCATAGGGTAACATCACTTTGTCAACGATTACAGAGAAATGCTGGGGTGAATACAAACTAAGAGGAAACTTATGTTTCGGTTTTCTTTCAGGCTGCCTTCAACTACTTAACACCATGACGTAATGTGTGGGATGATGACTTACATATGCTATCGGCCGAAGTACAACGTGATCGATAGAGTGCCATCAGCGTTATGTGAACAAACAAATATAAAAATTGTTATTCCCAAGAGATTATTTAATATTTAATCGACGCTAAATTAAACCATAAATTTGGCAACTAGCTAAGAATTCATTTTAAATGGGTTATTGTCCAGGTATTTAAACACTAGCATGAAATATTTTTGACTCTAAACCGAAAATACGTAATGTTTAACGTGAACCAGAGTTAAGTTCTTGCCTAGGCAACGATTGTTTAAATCAACAGTTGCACTGTTACTTTTTTTCTACTGTTGTTTTCATTTGTTGACAGATTCAACAAAGGTTTCTAACAGAACGAGAAGCCGTAAATCATATCGAGAAGTCATGTGCATTATTACAGAGTGCTGTTGAATCTCGATGTAAGAAAACTCGGGTAAGACCTTACATTCAATCACGTAAGGAGCAAGTCAGTTTTCCATGATTATACAAAACGTCTGGGATTAAAGAAAGCATTCACAGAATGCTGAATTTGTGTCTAAATTTTTTTATACTTACCATGGGCCTGTTTTAATTATAGATACAGTGCTGTGGCTTCTTGAACTTGGAAAAGTAGCCGTTTATTAGTTTTCTAGTTGATGTCAGTTATTGATACAAAATATACTTCCGTTTGGCTAAATAAAACAGTCCTTAGAACAATAAAGTCTCAAGTTTTCTATTTTATCCTTCATTTGAAGCCTACGTATTTTATGTTTTCAGTAATTACCCTTTTACTGAATTAAAAGAAACAATTAAACATATGATTAAAACACCATGATGTGTACATAGTTACAAATAAAAAAATGTCCTCAAGTTGTAACAGTGTCCAAATTATGAACAAACATGGTAAAAAGCACTAGATATACCAATGTGATATTGAGTTATCGTTAGTTAAGTATCAATGCGTGTGCTTAATAATGAAAAAAATTCTACATTAAAGTCTGTTTTACTGATGGTAAAAGCTGTTCCAACAATACTATAGTAATAACTAAATTTCACATATCTTGCAGTATTTTGTATACTAACATTTTGCTTAGCTTGCTCTTAACACGTATAGCTACGAATGACCTCTAGGCAGTATCGCAAATTAGGAACTTTAATAACGCTACTGGTTGAACTCGTTAAGTTCTAAGTTGGATAATCACCCGATCTTCTTGAGTAATTTAAATGTTCGTTGAGGAAAATCAAAATTTCACGTGATGACTTTAGAATATAAAATGCACTACAATAAACATAATCAATCTTTAGATACGATTTTAAACCAAGAAGGAGTTCTGTCTTTCATTCGCTATGAAGCACTTTCATTACTTACTTACTTACTTACTTACTTACTTACTTACTTACTTACTTACTTACTTACTTACTTACTTACTTACTTACTTACTTACTTACTTACTTACTTACTTACTTACTTACTTACTTACTTACTTACTTACTTACTTACTTACTTACTTACTTACTTACTTACTTACTTACTTACTTACTTACTTACTTACTTACTTACTTACTTACTTACTTACTTACTTACTTACTTACTTACTTACTTACTTACTTACTTACTTACTTACTTACTTACTTACTTACTTACTTACTTACTTACTTACTTACTTACTTACTTACTTACTTACTTACTTACTTACTTACTTACTTACTTACTTACTTACTTACTTACTTACTTACTTACTTACTTACTTACTTACTTACTTACTTACTTACTTACTTACTTACTTACTTACTTACTTACTTACTTACTTACTTACTTACTTACTTACTTACTTACTTACTTACTTACTTACTTACTTACTTACTTACTTACTTACTTACTTACTTACTTACTTACTTACTTACTTACTTACTTACTTACTTACTTACTTACTTACTTACTTACTTACTTACTTACTTACTTACTTACTTACTTACTTACTTACTTACTTACTTACTTACTTACTTACTTACTTACTTACTTACTTACTTACTTACTTACTTACTTACTTACTTACTTACTTACTTACTTACTTACTTACTTACTTACTTACTTACTTACTTACTTACTTACTTACTTACTTACTTACTTACTTACTTACTTACTTACTTACTTACTTACTTACGCCTGTTACTCCCAGTGGAGCATAGGCCGCCGACCAGCATTCTCCAACCCACTCTGTCCTTGGCCTTCTTTTCTAGTTCCATCCAATTCTTGTTCATTTTTTTCATGTCTATTTCCATTTTTCGGCGTAGTGTGTTCTTTGGTCTTCCTCTTTTCCTTTCGCCTTGAGGATTCCATGTGAGAGCTTGTCTTGTGACGCAGTTGGGTGCTTTCCTCAATGTGTGTCCTATCCACTTCCAGCGCTTCTTCATCATTTCTTCCTCCACTGAAATCTGGTTTGTTCTTTCCCACAGTAAGTTGTTGCTAATAGTGACCGGCCAACGGATCCGAAGTATTTTGCGTAGACAATTGTTAATAAACACCTGTATCTTCTGGATGATGGCTTTCGTAGTTCTTCAGGTTTCTGTCCCTTACAGTAGAACTGTCTTGACATTTGTATTGAAAATCCTGACCTCTGTGTTGGTTGACAGTTGCTTTGAGTTTCAGATGTTCCTCAGTTGTAAATATGCTGCTCATGACATGTTGAAGTGATTGCCTCTTTGATCCCCTTCCAGTCGCTCTCCACAGTAGTTCCTTCTCCATTGAGTAGATCATGAAAGGCCTGGAACTTATTGCTGAGGACTATCTTGAATTTGTTGAGTTTGTTAGTATCTTGGAGAAAGGCCGTATTGAACTTTTGTGGTATTGTCTGCCCCATTGTCCAGTGCTTCTTGAGTTTCAATTTCATCTTAGCGACCAGCAAGTGATGATCTGATGCTATATCAGCTCCTCTCTTGGTTCTCACGTCCTCTATAGTCCTCCTGAACGTTTTGTTGATGCAAATATGATCGATTTGGTTTTGCGTGGTGTGATCCGGTGAAGTTCATGCGGTTTTTTGAATGCGTTTATGTGGGAATATGGTGCCGCCTATGACCAGTTTATTGAAGCCACACAGGTTTGCAAATCTCTCACCATTTTCGTTTCCTTCTCCTAGTCTACATCGTCCCATGATGTTTTCATATCCAGTGTTGTCCGTTCCAACCTTGGCATTGAAATCTCCCATCAGAATGGTCAGGTCCTTTGTTGGACACTTCCCTACGATTGACTGCAGCCTATTGTAGAATTGATCTTTAGCGTCTTCATTGTAGTCGTTGGTAGGCGCATAGCATTGGATAATGTTCACTGAAATGCTCTCTTTCTTTGTTTTGAAGGAGGCTTTGATGATCCTTGGTCCATGAGATTCGCATCCTATAAGTGCATTTTGCGCTTGTTTAGACAACATCAATGCAACTCCTTGTGTATGTGGTGCATTTTCTTCTTCATGGCCGGAGTATAACAGAAGCTCTCCTGAAGTTAGTCGTTGTTGTCCAACTTGCGTCCAATGTGTTTCACTGATCCCAAGTACCACTATGTTGTATCTTCTCATTTCTGCAGCAATTTAGAAGGCTCTCCCGGTGTCCCACATTGTACGAACATTCCATGTACCTAAATAAATGGTCGCTCTGGTTGTCAGAAGGGGCATCGGCCTCGTAACTTCCGAAGGAATTCGTCTTTCATCATTAGGCGTCATAGTTCTTCTAAATGAAGACCTTCTGACTCCCAGGGCAGAGTTTAGAAGGTTTGAATAATTTTTTCTGGTTAGCGTTTTCTTAGCGAGTTAGTTTTCTACGGAATGGGGACGCAATAAACCTACCTTGGGAATAAGTTAGAATCTCGACACCATTACATGAATTTCTTTCCGATATTCCAGCTTTGGCATTTTATTTGCCCTATATTTTAGCAACTTTGATTGCTCTTTTAAATAAGTTCAGGTAAACGATAAAGTTTCTCACTGCTTAAATACGCAGATTTAAAGTCTACGTACTAAATTGCATGTATCAGTTAACAATAAATAGTTTAATTAAATGACCTACCGGAGTTTATTTTAACCCAACACTTTTAGTATAAAGGCTAACTATGTTCATTTTCTAATAAGCAATTTACCCAGTGCTCCATTTATCGTGAATTACCTAACAAGATCTTGTTAATAATTGATAATAATTGAAATCGCTAAATAACTTTACTGGTAACTTATAATCCGCTAATCAAGGTACTATTTATGAACTAAGATATAATCATCAGCATACTTATGTTAATTTTTACAGATGACTAAATTACACTTAAAGTACTCAAAAACATTGGGCATTATATACCTGAATACGTTAGAGAAGGATGTGTTTTATCCTTATTGCCAAAATCATGATGCATTCCTCATCAACTAACATTAAACGATAAACGGCTCCCTTTTCATATACATTAGATAAAAGGCTCTTCTTTAATCAAATTTGTTTTTATTAACAAACAACTTTAAAATTAGAAATCCTATAATTCAGCTTTGAATTTTTTTCTCGAAATTTCTCACTTTAATGTATTAAATTATTTTAATGATTATTTTTATTTTATAGAGATTTATATTGGCACAGAAAGACTTTATCTCTTTTATGAAAAAAGTATTTTTACAACGAAACACAATTAAACTTCATTCTGATATACCAACAACTAATTGTTCATCAAATGAATTACCTATCGATTTAATATTAAATTGTGAGATTGCATTTGATACATTAATTCATTATATGAATGATATATATGTAAGTTATGCACATCACTATCTTCATAATTCTACTTAGTTTCTTCAGTAAATTATATTTTCCATTAAAATTTACTTTCAAATTGATTGTATGTTAAATAGTAGGTAACAGTGAAATTAAGCACTTATGTTACATACCATACAAAAGCTTACTAGCTATATGTATCTAGGCTTTAGTTTTGATTAACATAGCATTAATCGTATCAGATGTTCAGTTTAGTTTAATTTGTCGTGTTTGAAACCATTTTTAATTAAGTTTTTGTTTCATTTAATTCTGATTTGTGGAACATTTAAAAACCTCGTTCATTCCTAATCACTGAATTATACTTCAAAATAAAGACATTTTACTACAGTATTCATAATATTACTTAACTTTTTTGGGTTGTTCATCTTACCTAATTATTCTGAATAAAGCTTTAGTTGATCAATTTTGATTAGTAAAACGTTATTTTTGTTTTTATCGTACTATTAGTGTTTTACATCTTAGTGTGAAGTCATCTAGATATGACTGACGATCTACATTTCACCAGAAAGATATTTAATGTATATTACACTGAAGACAGTTAAACAATTACTGAAAATATAAAAACGTTGGACAGCTATTTCAATACGGCAGAAAACCTTCTAAAGGATACGCACTCACGATCACAAAAAAGTCATAGCTAAGGCCCTGAAATTTCACGACAACCGGCAGCTTGAACAATAAATATTTATATGTTACGTGACTGTAAATAAAAACATGATTAGTTCTAGGAGATTTGATTGAATTATCTTTTGTACTTGAATGACAGCAAATTATTATGTTTGGAGATTGTCAGATGTGTCAACCGATGATTTCTTAATTATATTTGGTTTCGAATTGCATTTTACTCACATCTGATTACACTATACACCACGGATCATCATTGAATAATCGATTGAATAAAAATCATCACTGTGCATCAATTTGATTGACTACAAGAAAGTGTTTGACAGTGTGCATAGGCGAACTGTATGAAAAATACACAGACACTGTCGGTGTGCCTGAGAAAATCGTCAACATCATACGGAATTCATATGACAGACTACACCGCACAGTTATGCATGGAGGACAGCTAACAGATACATTCCAAATGAAGATCGGTGTCAGACAGGACTGCTCACACCCTCCCTTTCTTCTTCTTCTTCTTCTGGTGGTTGACTGGATTATGAAGACCTCCACTCCACATCTGAGGGGAAGCACGGAATACAATGGACAGTTTGGATGCAACTAGATGATTTGGACTTCGTAGGTGACCTAGCTCGTCTATCTCATACACATCAACAAATGCAGGTCAAGACACCTGCTGAAGCAGTAGCCTTTAGAGAAGTAAGAATCAACATACACAATGGAAAGGTAACATCCTCAAATACAACACAGAAAACACTAGCACACTCACACTTGATCGAGAAACTCTGGAATAGGTGGCAACTTCCACATATCTGGACAGCATCATCGATGAACAAGGCGGGTCTGGTGCAGACGTAAGGGCGAGGATCGGCAAAGCAAGGGCGATATTCCTGCAACTAACGAACACATGGAACTCCAAACAACTGTATGCATGCCAACACAAAATTCAGAATCTTCAATACAAACGTCGAGACAGTCCCGATGTACGGAGATGAGACTTAGAGAACTACCACAATCAACATCAAAGTAGTACAGGTATTTATAAACAGCTGTCTTCTCAAGATACTCAACGTCCGTTGTTCGGATACCATCAGCAACAATCTACTGTGTGAGAGAACGCATCAACTTCCATCTGAGGAGGAACTTGGGCAAACGCGTTGGGTGTGTATAAGACATACACTGAAGAAATCATCAGACTATGTTGTGAGGTGAGCGCTGAATTGGAATCTGGAAAACTTGGAAACTGAAAAGAGGAAGACCGAGAAACACATTGTTTCGAGAATCGGAAGCAGATATTGAAAGAATGAATGGCGACTGGAGACAGCTGCAAAGGATGAGTGAGGACAGGGTTGGCTGTGGAATACTGGTGGGCGACCTAGGTTCCTCCACGATGGTTAACAGGTGTAAGTAAATTAATAAATGATTTTTTTATGGACCAGATGATGAACATTTAATATATTATACGCCTGTTTTTTTTCATGAACTTGTGTTGCAGTTGAGAAAAATGTCATCTAGTGTAGTTAATCGTTTAAATGAATTGAAAAAATTAATAAATCTTTCAAAGCGTCTTTTGGATAAATACGATAATACAGAATTGAACATTGTTTTAATGGAAGCTTCAATGAAAAACCATAAAAATGTTGTAAGTTTAGTCAAGAAATATTATCTTTTCAATGATTAACTTTACATACGTGTATTGCTTCACATTTTATGAGAATAATTTATGAAATGTTTTGTCACAAATCTACAACTTGCAATTTTCTTTCTTTCTAGTAGATTACTGTTTGTAAAATAAGATGTAACATCATAATTACATATCTGGTAATTTTTTGTAACCAAGACAATAAACAATTCCATTTTAGAGGACATCAGTAAAAAAAATAACATCACATCATGACGACCGATGAAAGAACACAGTAAAAAACACAAAATAATCAAGTAGGATAGGTATTTCATGGATTTTTCTTTACTTATGCATGTTATTTTTATAGTACAAAAGATACACTAAAAAACAAAGCTAACAATTCAAGTTATGCGTTACTAATCAACAAAATTATACTGAATGACATCATTCCTGGAATATTATTCAAGGAATTCCAGTAATTCTCTATATGTTGTTCCAATGAAAGTCTTAGCTTACAGTGTGCTATCACACAATTGATAGTCTATTTTTTTCTTACATATTCATCTTGAGAATCGAAAACTGAAATTGAGTTGAGTCTGTTTGGTAAAATACAAGTATAATTGTATGGCATGTATTAAAAGTGGTAATTTGATAGTTTATACGGAGAAGTAATAAAGTAAACTGGAAAACCCAAAAAAGTAATACTTAGTTTTCTTGCATTTTCTATGCCTAATCCCATAACAATACATCGATTTTACCCTTAAAAAAACATTTTTTAAAGCAATATAAATAAAGTAAAATAAGATTTGGTTTTAAAGCCATCAACGTTAAAAGACTCATTTACTTAAATTCCGTCACAGAGTTTTCTTTCAGTATGAATTAATGCGCCATTATTATTCATTGTTACATGAGATCTGTACCGTAGTACACATAGAATTAGTGGAAATATACCACTTTGCTTATCAACTAGCAGATCATATCTTATTGATTACATTTATAACTAACTTTGAGACCATATATTGAGTGAACTGATTATCTACTATGTTGAGCTATTTATTTTTTCAATATAATTATATTCACTCGTTACTAGGTTTGGTTTACAGTCGCATGATTGTAACCATATTCTGTTTAAATTCATTAAATGATATTTATCTCTGTTAGCAACAAAATAACGAGTAGTTTGAAATTTGACCCAATTTATATAATCAATTTTAATGTAATCTACTTTTACGAAAGCATTATTCATTAGTCAAAACAAGCTCACCGTAGTCAAAAAGAGTCAGAGGAATCTACAGAATTATAATTGTTTTACTTGCTGGAATACGTATTTTGCAAACATTTAAATTTCTGTTAATAAATGTTGTCATAGGAGTTTCATTTTTATTCCTTCTTTGTCGAAAATGCAATTCCTGATTAATTTACTATACTTCAAATAAATTAACGTGTTAACTAACAATAAAAATTTACTAAAAAAAGTCAATTCTCACTTGATAAATGTTCAGTAGTGTTAGACGAAAGTATACAGAAAAGCTTATCGTCAACATATATCGTCAACGATGTAAGCCGATGAGTTTCCTATGTACATATCTTTTCGATAACTGATTATGAATATAAATCCTAAAATAATATGTTATCAAAACTGAGTTGACGTATTTTACATAACCAAGAGAGTTACGCTTAAAAATAACGTTCAAGTTATGAATGAATCTCTTGAGAGTAATTTTTTTGTCCACGAATATCTTACTTAATTAAGTAACTACATAAACTTATACATTATCTTGAAAATTGTTTACCATGCTTTGTTAAGAAATACAATACAATATTTAACACTTGCTTATTATTCAGGTTTTTATATTATGAAATTTAATTTTCATTTGAACATTTACAAATCATACATTTATTATTGTTATATGTAGCCCATATTAGGATATGATAATAACAATAATCATCAGTAAATCAACTTCTAAAGCCAGTTACATCTTTCAGTGATTAATTTCTGTCATTAATACAATTAGGTAGGAATACAAAAAAAGTAGAAATTTCATTTCTATGCTATAAAGATATCGATGCTTTTTTCTTAAATAAATTAATTAGAAATTATTTCTTTTGTCAAGCAAGCTGTTGTTAATATGCAATTACAAAGAGAAGACAATATACGAAATCTGTCTACTTTACAGTTTGGACTACAACATATCCTACCTTCATTGGTAAAAAGTGCAAATAATATTTTATTATCAGCTAGTCAATACGCTTTTATACTTCAATCAAATCTTATGCAAGAAGCTGAAAATTTAGTTCACAAGTGTATTAACGATGTAAGTTCTAAAAATAAATGTCATAATGACCTTGATTTATCATTTTCAAGTTTACCATTGGTTCAAGTAATAGTGAATACAGTCTATGTAAACAGTATGAATTGTACGAATGTATTTATCATTGAGCTATTTAGTACATACTTTAAGCTAGCATAGTAGTGGTGTGGTTTTTACGCTTATACTATCCCAAGTTTGATCATCATATCAACTGGTTTAAAATCCCTGATTTAGTGGCTTACTGATATCCTGTAAATAAACACACGCGGTAAACACTATGAACAACTCTTTTTGATTATCTTAAACTCTTATTTTTATTTCAACTTATTATAGTGAGAAATTAGTTTGTGTGTCTTAGAATGGATTAAGAAATCCGTTCAAAAGCATTGTTTTTCAACAAAATATCTTTCTAAATAACTTTAAGTATAGTGTTTTAATGCAAGATATGGTTTTAGATAAAAATATAGTGTTGGACGATAAAATCAGTCAGACAAGCAACTACTTCTTAAGTTTCAGTAAAAACTATCCAACTAGTGAAAGGTGTTCCTGTTAATCGTGGACGAGTTGGTCAATAATATTTAGCAAATTAATAAGATTCAAATGACCACATTATTTATATTACTTGAATTCAGAAGTCTCATACCATTTGGAAAAAATCAACAAAAGTTACTGATTTCATCTTGCTTAACTTTATGAATATATCAATACTTTCACAACGAACTTCCACTTTATGTAGTATAATGATAAGTGCATGATTGCTTTACTGATAAAATTGTTATTCTTTTGAATAAAATATTTGTGCAAATTGTGGCAAACGTTTCACAAATTCTAGACAATTCTAAGCGTTGTTAGACAACACTTTTTATTCATACGAAAACAATAAAATTTAGCTTGTGAATCTGTTTAATTTAAATCAATAAATCATGTGCAAAAGAAGTAAGTTTACATACTTTATTCATCACAAGCACAAGTGACATAATGAATAGAAGATTTACAGAATTATAATGAATTAATTTTTCATAAGTTCTACATTAACAATTAATTGCATAATTAATATGTGCAATTAATACTGTGTTGATTTATGTTTTCTATCAAATAATTCTAACAAACTGTGAAATCTTATGTGGTCTGATCTTTAAGACGGTACAAATTTTATTCTTTTTCAGTAGTAAATATATATGTTCTTGTTAAAATCAATAAGTTAAATGAAATGTAATTCTATGTATTTATAATAATACTATTAGATTTTCAGAAATTATTTAAACAGTAGAATACAACACAGTTTTTTCTTTATGACATTATGTTTGCTGACATCACAACTATTTTAATCTATTAAGCAGATCCTTTTACAAAATCCGTGCAGGCCTAGAAAATTTTGGTTGTGATCATTATTTTGATCATTTTTGCAAAAATGGTTAAATTGATGAGTCAAACAATGTATGGTTGATGTTGATACTCTATTATTACTATTAATGCTGAAACAAGGTATACCAAAAACACTTATAATGTTTTCCAGCTCAATTCATATATTTACATATAACGAATTAGATATTATATATTTATCATCACGGCAAAGCCTCTTTTAACAGAACGTTTTTCTTGTATCTTATTTTGTTCAACTGAACTGATTACACATTCAGTGCTAAATTGTGAGTATTTATACTAATAGACGCACTCTGCCTAAAGCACTTCGAGGGTTACCACTAGTTCCAGTCCCTATTAAGTGAAAAGGTTTGGGTATCGGAATAGTAGCACATACTGTGAAAAATAAGGTAATTAAAAACAGTAATAAGAAAAATTTATTTGGACCATTTAAACTCTGAACTGGTAGTTGAAGAGTGTTCATATAGACGAGTTATGACACCTCATGATGGAAGCGGAACTTCTATCGAAATCGCGAAACCCACGAGCATTCTGAAAACCAGATCAATAATTAGTATCAATGCATGGAATCTTCGGACAATGTGGGAGACTGGAAGAAACATTCAAGTAGCTGTAGAAATGTGAAGAAGCACTGTCCTGAAAAAGATCTTATATTCTTGAATGCCAAGGCTGACATGGACAACATAGGGTACTAAGAAGTCATGAGACTAAATAAATTTAAAAAAAGAATCAAGAATGACCAGAGGCTTATAGATCTGTTTATTTTCAATAACACTATGGTAGCGTAGTTGTACTTGCCCTCACAAATACAAACACAAAATTACATGGGAACACACTACAGAAACAAGACAAATCACATTTACATCAATAAAAAGTTCATGAGGTTCATGAAAGTCATAGGAACAAACAAAGAAGCTTATACAGATTCAGAACAACACCTGGTGGTGCCCTGGTTGAAACTGAAACTGGGAAACACCGGGTAGTTAGACAAGCAGCAATATAAACGTTTAGTATGGTCATCCTTCGAGACACTGACAAACTCACTGAATTCAAGGTAGCTCTCAGCATTAAGTTACAAGCCTTACTAGATATGCTCGAAAAAACGGAAACCACCATAGCGGATAACTAGAAAAAGATTAAAGAAATGATAACACCAACATGTCAGGAGGGCCCGGTTACAATGAAGCACCAGAATATAAAGTTAAACTCTATTAATAACCTAGGCATCATTCAAGAAAGGAAAAACAAGAAGACGGCAGTCGACAACAGCCGAACAAGAACAGAGGAACCCAAGTCAAATGCGGAATTCACAGAAGTAAACAAGCGAGTAAACGACAGAATTAGAGGTGATAAGTGGAAATATCTAGAAGGCCTGGCAACTACAGAAGAACGAGCTGTAAGAGAAGAAAATATGAGAGAACTATATTATGCAATAAAGAAGCTCGCAAGAACAAAATACGGCAAACCAGATATACTAGTCAAGGGCAAAATGGCAACCAATCATTTGGGTTCAGAAGCAGCAGAACTGATCGGTAAAGCATTTTTAAAAGAGTTCTTGAATAGACCAGTACCTCTGAGTCCATTAGATATCGAAGCCACACAAACAAACCTCCTAATGGATTACATCGTGCCAATACTGGAAATCAGCAAAGCCATTCAAAAAAACAAAAATGTCAAAGCAGCAGAACCAAACAGTATGTCAGCTGAAGCATTGAAATCAGATATGGTAGTAACTACGAAGCTGAGTCACGTCCCCTTCACAAAGACTCGATGAATGAATAAAAAAACTCCAATGTCCAGCACGACTTGGATTACTAAGTGTTTTTAGTTTTATGTAAAAGCACACTGCTTATGAATAAATAGTTTGTGAACTGTTTTCTCCCTCTGGTCAACTTGGTATACTAATTGATATATAGAATAATTGCAATTTTGAGAAACTTTTGAAAGAGCAGTTAAATTTTAAGACTTTACGAATAATTTTGCACAGACATTAATATTTAATTGTTTATATAGTAGAACGTCTTTAATTAAAGTGTTAAAAACATTTTATATTCTCAACAGACTGAAAAAGACAATATATCTATACAACCTGGATGTAATATATCTCCTGCAGAACTTATTATTCGTCTAGATAAATTAAAATCTCTTCTCTACGAAAAAAAACGTTGTCGAACTCATAGAATATATGAAGTACCTAGTGTATTTAAATGGGAAGAAGAATCAACGTGTAGTGAAAAGAATAATTTACCTCATCAGGAATCTCGTAAGATTTTAGAATTTTACGCTTGAATAGTTCTTTTATTTATTTCACGTATTATTTGTCAATATGAATGGGTTATTAAGGATTTAAGGTCAATAAAGTAATGGTAAACCAGCTGATTTGTATTTGAGTATTAAATAAATTGAATAGTTTAATTATTATCCCGATTCCTGAGTAAAAAAGAAACATTTATAAAATTGTCTGAAGCTCAATAAATTGATTACTTATTTTTGCAACTATTGTAATTAATAAACAAATCAGTGTTCCGTATTAGAACTGAATCCACTAGTAACAAATATTTCAAGTCTGTATGAGAAATTATTGTTGTCTTTTTAATGAACTTTAAAACCAACTGAATATTTGAAATAATTACTATTGCTTTATGATAAGTTAATTGAAAGTATTAGTTGTTCAAATTTTATATGCTAGGTCACTATTTTTTTTTTCAGTGTTTTATTGTATTAACTTCAAACTGATAGGCCAAATGTTTATAATATTCTAAGTATTATTGTTGACTAGTCGGCTTTATTTTTGTTCCATAACACAAGTTTTCTTTGAAATAAATTTATATTGATAGAAATTAATCAAGCTCTGTAGGTTTTCAACTCTTACTTCTTGTTTTATTGACAAGAGGAAATGTCTAAACATATATGCTGCTAGTAAATGATTAATTAAAGCAAATCTAATTACATTTAATATTAAGTTAGATTTTGCAATTAACACCCTTTCTGTAAACGATTGAGTAATCATGACCATAGGGTTCTTGTGATACAATTTTTGAGACAAAAAACAACACAGTTCATGCGTTAAACAATTAGCATTAGTTCACCGGACTGACTGAACAAAATTGCACTTGTTTGATTGGGTAATCGAATGCACAAATCATGTATTATTTTCTTATAGCTGTACTGGCTTGATAGTATTTACCGCTTTAATCTTGTCATTCCACTTTGATTACAGAAAACAAAGTATGTTACGGATAATTGTTGAATGAATTTAGTCATACGCCCATTGGTATTATTGTGTTGAATAAGCATAACTGCATGATTAACTTGAGAAAAAGAACTTTGTATTAGTTTAATTTTGAGTCAAACTGAAAGTTTCAAGGTTGTTCATGTCTATACATTTTCCGAATCCAGTATTGTGTAATCGAAACTGAAAAACATAAAACAATTTATCACATTCTCCATCTTCACACTTTGATCTACTGTAAATTTGTGTTTAATTGGTTATATATATTTGACAATTTCTTAAATTTATTTAGCTGTAATGTCAGTTAGCAGTCATCTATCAAATTCAGATATAGATATTCAACCCTGTCAAACAATTTCAACTAGAAGTGTTATTAAAAATTCCTTATCACCATATCCGGAAATGAAAATTATTGTAAGTTGAATATATATTTTTTCATACTGTTAAAGTTCTATGGTGAACGTATTAGTTTAGTTTCGATTTAGTGTACATTGTAGAAATAGACAAAATATAAGATTTTTTAAATCTTTTATGGAACATATTTTATCACAACGTTACCAATTAATTAATCATGACTATTGTTAAAGCTTTAGATCTAGAGGAATAGTCAAATTTATAATGAAACCGTTAGGATTATGTAAAAACATCATTTCATGTTGATATACAGGTTCTTACTGATATAAAAATCCTCCACATTTTTTTCAATTTACAATGACGCATAACATATTCATATTCATAAGTATTCCCTCTTTACTGATCATCATTGACGCACTAATCTAAATAATAAATTCAAAGATTTATTTTTGTAAAAATGATTATTCTAATGACATACATAAATGGTCTATCATGTTTGTTTTTTTCATTATATTTACATCGAAAATATGGTCTCTTAATACTGATTGTTATTGAAAATAAAGATGTGTCTATTTTCCAAATACCTTCCACATGTTTTTCAACTATTTGTAGGATGAATCCTGAGCATAAAACTGGTACTGTTTGTTTTTTAATTCTACTTTCATGAATTCTTGATATTAAGTAATGAATTGTCTATCCATTTTATGATGTAATCAAAAGTATTAATATTTCTTAACTAATTCAGTGTTATTTATTACAATTAAGAAAAACAACGACTTTCTATCGTTGTAAATCACAAAGTTCTTTCATTCAAAAGAAAACTATTTGAATAGAAAGCATCTTTGTAGTGGTGAATATTTTGAGGGATTTCGTGAATAGTAATCAACCATGTCTTACTACCTGCTTGGTGTCCAAACTCTGATTAATTAAATGTTATCCCTAATGCGTAAACTTAATTACATTGAATTCAGTGTTTTAGGATGTGATAATTAAAATAAATTCTCATACAAACAGATGGAAGTATTGCGGTAGACAAATGGATATTATTAAAAATTTGAACATCGTTTTAATGTTTCTTAGAAATTGAATGTGGAATTTCCTGGTCAACTGAATGTCAGCCTTTTAATGTACGCTGAAGGTAATTAACTTTCCAACCAGTGACTAAGAACATATGTAAATGCAACCGATTATTTACCGATAAAAATTCATCCATAATGTGTTTAGAATGATTCGTCAAAACAGGTGACCGTGGTTTTTTGAGATATAAGACTTGGAACTTATAGATATTTATGTACTACATTAAGGTATGATTTTTCATCTAAAAACGAGTGTTATAACTAGAGTAATGTAGAATAATAATTTGGTGTGAATAATGCTTTGTGACTCGATGAGTATGAGCAAGCTGCCATGGAACTTGGGTATACTTCTGACCAAAATATACTTATATTTTTCAACGTGTGGTCCATTAATTTTCACTTTAGGAAAAATATGAAGCTGATATGTCAATCATTTTGAAGGCAGCTACTTTTTAATGAGTGGTAATGCTGTTCAAGCATAGAATATAACCACTAAAGTTTATTATAAGAAGTTCATGTTACAGTAGTATTGCAGTTACAGTTCTGATATTTCTAAATAAGAATTTCGTATTTCAAAGTGTGACCTACTAATTGTCATTATTTTACTTATCATTTATGTCATAGGCTAGTTAGTGTCTTTTACGGATTCAAATCCGTACAGTAAAACATTATTTTAGAATATGATTTGATCGATATTCAAAAGCATTTTCAACGAATAAGTGTCCATATGTTAATCGTTTAAGTAATGGGTGAGAACATTTTGAATAAGGAAGATAGTTCTCTTACCACAATAGTTACTAAATCGAGATACACTTTTTTCAACATCTCCGATTATGAATTTATCATACAGGGAAATTCTTCACATGGAATTAATATTAAAGTGATACTGTGTAGTGCCATGTTAATACATAGCTTATTCTGGTGAAAGAAAACAGATCACCAATTTTAATCGATTAGACTAAAATCCACGTTAATCAGCCGATTAGTATTTAAGATAGAAACGTTTGACGCAAACTATAACACTTCATTTCATATAAACAAGTAATTAAAAACTTTTTTTTGAAAAATAAATTCATTATTATTCAAATTCCTGCACTGTGTAACAGGTAAACTGTATACTCAAAGACTAAATTATTACCGCGTTAGTTATGTAGTTTCAATATCAGTTTCTCTAGTCAAGGTTAAATTTAGACATGAACTGTGGGTCTTCTGCAATATTGGTCTTCTAATTTCTGAAGATATTTTGAATAGTGTTCTAAAATTGGACTGACTTTTACCTTACAATTTATTCTTGACGGTCTTTTCTCTATTATACAGTATCGTGAGTCTGATTACCAACAGGAGAAAAAACTAAGCAGGATTTCTTCAGGTGATGACATTAGATATATAAGTGTGAAAGAACAACCTTCAACTTCAAAACTCTGTGTGAATGATGATTTTCCCGATAAACCAACTCACAGAATTACTCATGACTTTTCGTCTAAAAATAAAAATGTTCTAATATTGTCCAAAGGTCAGTTAGTGACAATCATAAGATCTTATGGTCAAAATGGGAATACTAATTGGAGTTTAGTCAAATTTCATCCATATGGTGAAATTAAATTCGTACCAACTAACTATCTCGAAGCAATATGAAATTCTTTTTTGGTTTCATTTAAAATCATTCATTTGATAACGTCTTACTCATTTTTACAAACTAGTAGTTTTTTGGTATTAAACCATATAGTGGTTCTAAATCTTGAACGACACATATGTCTAATATTCCTTTTGTCTGATGAATGACTACAGTTCGTTTACTTTGTTTAATTAATCATATTAAAATGAACGATTACTTTTGAATGTTTTAATTACATTTGTCCTATACAGATGGGATTAAGTAGTAAAATATAGAGATTATTTCATCAACTGCTTTAACTTGTGTTCATTGTATAAATATAAAACATACAGTGAACTAGTTATTCTTTTCGTTTTCACTGTAAATCAGAAGATATCTGAAGCATGTCACGCTTTTATTTCTATTGAACCAAGCATTCTTTTTAAGTAACCGACTTTAAATACACTTCATACATTTAACTTCATTTTTAGAATTTAGCTAAACACCATGACTTTTTAAAATCATTTAGCAGTAACATTAGAGTTTACCGACTTCAGAATAATCATCCACATGGAGAAAGTATACTTGGTATAAATTACCTATTTAGCTTCAGTTTGATGAAATAGGAGTCCTAAAATATTAAAATATCATGTGTATACGCCATACACTATTGATATATTTTAGTTTCACATGATATACAACAAGACATCTAAAACAACAGCTAAATACGAAAAATATTGATTCATGACAATGCGTTATTACTAAAGTTCTTTTTAGGAAGATAATCATATTTAAGGAAAACTTGAAAATGTAGTTTGAACTCGTAAGATTTATTCAGTTGAGAAACCTTAGTACTACTTAGATAGACATTCATATTAATCAACACAATGGTTTTAAGCAGATGAATCAATGTGTATCAGACAGTGTCGAATAAGTAGACAGAGGGTAAATCAGTAAGTCAAATTTTAATTGCAGACGCATTCAGAAGCGGCAATCAAACAAATTAGTTAGCAATTATAATGTATACAAACAAGCATTCTGTTTTAAAAGACATTGATGAAAAAATAAAAATCCTGTATGATATATGCTACAGCCAATTCTCCCCTATAATTGTTGTCTATAATGTTTTTCCATTGAACACGTTTTCCGCCGCTTTAAAGAATTCTTATAGCTCATAATCAGATGTGAAATGGTAGTAATAAATAAACCCACAAAATCAGTAGCTCTGTACGTCTTCGACATTTTTGATCCTGACCCCATTAGTTTTAATGCACAAATCTATCTGAAGGCTCTCCGTCACGTATCCGCACCAGATCACGAATGGGTACGTCGTGCTATGCATCTCTTACAACTGTTATCCAGATTAGAACAAATGCTCCTTGATATTTCAATAGCTTTCCAGACATAACTTCGAACCCCTTCATTTCTGTCTTCTAATTTGACTGAGTTGACATCCAATTACGAAGGTGTTAGGTGTAAAGGTGTTTTCAAACTCCGAATTCTTATGACGTCTTCAGTAGTGAGCTCGCCATTATCTGGTACACCAAACTGTGGACTCTGCATTTTTCCGAGCACTGAACCATCCACCACGGAAAAATCTTCGGTAAACTTCCCGACCGGCACGCGTCAACGGCAACCGTGGAGAGTAAACCTAGCCGCTTTTGTACACAACTGATGTGATGACGAAAGTTCGCCATCTCGTAACCAGCGATGTTATATACCAAATCACGACTACATGAACACTTGTATTCGCGAAATCGCACCGAATAGCTCCCGAAAAGCCAAGGTTGGCCAAAGTCGAGTTCCACCATATGAAAAACTTAGGAATCAGCCGGCCATTGAACGGCTCACGGGCATCTCCCTTACAATGGTCCGTAAAATGGACAGCAACGATTATCGTCCGATCGATTACTCTCGGTAACTGGATGCGAAAACCATTCCTGATCGGTACCAGTTGCTTCACATGCACGATTTGAGGGCTACCTTAAAAGATGCAACTGTCTTTTCGAAAATGAGCCTGGTTAAAGCATGTAAGAAAATGAACATGGCTGTTAACTACATTCCCAAAATCGCTATTTTCACCCCCTTCAGACTCTACAAATATTTGCGCATACCTTTCGGTTTGAGAAATGCCGCACAAACTTTTCAAGTCTCAATCTCGTATATGCATACATAGATAAGTGCTCTATTGCACGTCTGAACAGAGGATCTCATCTTCAACACTTGGACCTTGCTTCTGAACGACTGCAAAGGACAGCATTACTGTGGACACTCAGAAATGTCAAGTTGGCACCGACCACCTATATTTTCTTAGACACACTACTGATATTCAGGGCATCCGCCCCTGAAAATTAAAACGGCGGCCATTCTGGCTTACCAAGACCGGACGGTAGCCAAGCAGTTTCGATGGCCTGGTAGGTTTCTATCGACGGTTTATGAATGTTATGTATGTCATGGGACGTCTAACGGACCACCTTCGTAGAAATGAACAACTCACCAATTTAAACGACAGCGGGAAGAAAGCATTCTCCACACTTAAGGAAATTCGCATGGCAGATGAATTACATACGTTTGTAAAGCTGCTTGATCAAGCCCTCACTTGCAATGATCTTGCACGTACGAACACATCTACGCCCCACTCAGACATCATAGGCTCTCTCTATGTCTAGACCAAAACGGAATTCAAGTTCAGTTTGCCTTATTTTTTCTACTTTGCAGTTGTATTAGTCCATTTTTTCACCCTACTTCTTCACTTGAAGTAGATAGGTAACTCACTGGACCAATCATTACTGTTAAACTAAACTCGGTCGCTAAGGGACACTTACTACCACCCTCAGAAAGTCAAGAGGACCGCACAATCGACTGCCTACTACCAGTGGTCTTGCATCTATGGAGCCTGTTACCAATCAACTGGTTAGGAAAACACAAAATAACATCAGCACCAAGTTAATGTGAGTTTCTTCCTGTTTATCCTGTATTAACTTTTTACTCTTCTGCACACTATGTTGGCTAGCAATTAATATTTCTCCACTCGTTACCTTATCCACAACTCATATACTTCTATACTTTTTCCGCCTGCTTAAATAAACAACTATCCTACAATATACCCTTCTTAACGCTTGTACTCTGATTGGCAAACTATACTTTATACTATAGTCAACAGAGGCACTGCATGGATGCCTTACCCACAGTCCATAGCTTGTAACTACCTGATAAGCTTGTAAAATGTACTTATAAAAATAGTGCTTTCCAACAGGATGTGAAACACAGAGGATTGCGTGAGGTATGACATATATACAAAAATAAGGTTAAATGAGCCTAACATCACAAAAGGAAGGAGGGTGGAGTTACTGACCAGCAAGCATTGATGGCGAGGGCGATGACTTCAATCCACCCGTGTTTGGGGGGGCAGAACATTTTGTATGTATCAGGCTCTTTATGATTGTTTTCCTACGCTCACCACTCAGACCCACGTTTCCAATACTATGCTGAATTCGTTATTCTACTAAGACAACCTATAACATGCTAACTCGGACTTTTACACTAGGATTGTGCGGCTGACATCGGATAGACAAAAAAAGGAAAGAAATAGACAGCCAAAGATATAGTCATTAGTATTCTTATCACTTCACCCTCTATATGCACACTCTTCTAATAAACCGCTTTCCTTGTACCAGCCTTGACTTTCTTTCCTTCATGTGAGCTTACTCCAACTTGTTAAACGACAAAACTCATTGTTCTTTATTACTACGTTCTATAATATGGAGCCTCTGACTTCATTTCACTCTAACAAGAGATAATATGAACTTATTCTAATTTATTATACCTCTGTTCGTTCTACTACACAATGTTAAGCAACGTTTGGCGTTCATATTCAAGTGCCTTGCTGCTCTTCTGTTTCGCATTTTTTTTCTTCAGAAATTTGCTTTGAGGGCACAGCTATGAAACTTCTGACGTCGATCGACGAGCGCTAACTAAAAAGGACAGTGGTATTGTTTCTCGTTGAGTTAGTTAACTGTTTTGATCGTAAATTACGTATCAAAACTACACTTTATTTGAATCCACCTCAGTTAAAGTTATATTCTATTGAGTTTTTTTTGGCTTTTGTGTATTTATTGCATTGGAAAGCATTCTTGGTCTGTATCAAAGTACTTTGGTTAAGGTTTGAAATCTTGCTAAAGATTGTCTTGTGGTAACCTTTTATTCGTTGACTGACATTTGTGTTCATACTGTGATCACATTGTGTGTTACACCTTGATCAGATTAAAATGGTTGGTAGTACTCCCAAATGTGGACAACCAAACTGTTTGTTTCCTGTGGAGGAGAGAATGCAGTGTGATGAATGCAATAAGTGGTTCCACAAAATGTGCACCCGTTTAAGTCCCACTGTATACAAAAGATGTTCGAAGCCTAACTCACATTGGCTTTGCATGTTTTGTTGTGCCAACAAGGCATTACTAATACAGGACGCTTTGAGCCTATTGGCTTTGGCCTGTAAGAAGAACGATGGCACATGCGCTGACAACACGGGCACTGACAGTGATGAATGTGTCAGTGCAGTACCTGCTGTTACGCGACGCCTCAAACAACCGACTCTGGCCGACGTAAAAGTGAAATCTTCGTTGACATTAACAGGGGGAGTAGTACCACCTGGTACTGACATTGTTAATAATGCACCTCTAGTAGGAACCGAAGATCTGGATGAATTAGTCACCGTTCCAAATAGTCCCAGTGTTATGAGGGGTGAAAAATGGACTACGGTACGTAGGAAACGAAACGAAAATAAAAAAGCTGTAAGCAGTACACAGGTAGTTAGTAACTCACTGGTGGTCTCAAATTGTGTGCCACAAATTGCACTACCAAGATCTGATGGAAGGAGTGAAACCCATCCTGGCGTGACTGAGAAGAAAAATCTAATAACATCGAATATTATTGTGAGCAAATTGCGGGAGTCAAACGACCCTGATCCGAAAATTGGACACGCGCATGACTTAGAAAAGCTAAGAGAATACATTCGTAGTATCTTACCAGACAACTCTAAAGGAGTTCAGGCCAAAAAACTGGTCAGAATAGTCGAGAGGACTGGGGATAATGTTGAACCCCGACCATGAAGACCCCTTAAGGTAATTCTAGTATCAGAGAAGCAACGGGATCTCCTGTTAAGTAGCGCTCGTTGTCACGACAATTCCGATATCCGATTTAGACCTGATATATCTCTCGAAGATAGAACAAAAAGGAAGAAGGCACTATCTGGACTAGAAACCCGTCAACAAAACGGTGAGGAAAATCTCCGGCTGGTGGGTTTTCGGATAGTCAGGTCTTGGAAGCGAATGCTACCAAGGCCTGTGTGGATTGGGTGTTC